TATCRCATTTAACATTGAAAATTTAAAAAAAATGTTTACTATATCACAATTGATTCCACCAAATCCTATTTGACACTGGCAAGTATAACTTCCATAATTGTCAAAACATATACCCTGATTGAAACATGGATTTATTTCACACTCATTTATATTTGTTTCACAATTTATTCCTTTGTATCTAAATGTATCACACATAAATATTATATGAATGAATAMAAATATTATTTAAATACAAATTTACCCTGTTTTACTACATGCACATGTATAATTATTTACACCATCAATACATACACCTCCATGTTGACAAGGACTTGACAAACATTCATTAATATTTATTTCACAATCATCTCCTTTAAATCCTACAGTAAAAAGAAAAAATGTATAGTACATTGTTTTAATAAATATTTTTATATATAGAAATAATAAAAATTAATTTACCTGGTGCACAACTGCATTCATAACTTTTTCCTCCCGATATTAATTTGCATGTACCATTATTCCTACATGGATTATTATCACAAACATGTCCAGATAATTCAATTTCACAAAATTTACCTGAAAAATAAATCCCGTATTAAATTATTAAAAATTAAGACTGTATGAATAATTTTAAAATAAAATACAAAAAAATTACCAGTATATCCTTGATCACAATGGCACATAAAATCTTCACCATAATTTATTTCTTCACACAGACCATGCATACAACGATTGTTTTGTTTTGCACACGGAGAACCTGAAATACAATAATTATTAATTTTTAAAACAAAATACTAATAACAAATATTAGATTTACCATTGTCAATTTCACAATTATTTCCAGAATACCTTGGTTGACAGATACAATGGTATTTATTTTGTCTTGGAACACATACTCCATGCATCATACAAGGAGCATGTGAACAGTAATCAATACCTGTACCTAAAAATTTATAGTTTACAAATATTAAATATGCATAAGGTACATAAATTATTGGTACTTCTTGGTTATTGTGACTACCAATAACTTATACAATTTTCCACCAATTCAATTACATTAATGTAAATATGGACTACCATTACCACAGGTTAACACCGTTTTACTATTTAAAGACAATTTCATAATCTACAAAACAAAATTGGATTTGCCAAAAAYCCAATGTTCTACAAAAGCCTGCAACAGTTGTATGTATTTTAAATTAAATTTCTAAAACATGTTTCCTAAGAATAATTTTGATTTATAAACAATACAAGGTGTAACAGAAAGATTTGACCAAATAAAAATAAAATTATGCTAATTAAACTAACGAAAAAAATTTCTAACATCAGTGGCGGACCTATGATATTGTTTTGTTTTATTTATTTATTTATTTTTTTGGGAGGGGGAATATTTTTTTACATCAGCACAATATAAGACGTTAAATTATAGCAGCTTTCGCGGTTGACTTATAAATATAAAGTATAGTATAATTAAATATTAAGTATTAAAACAAACYAGAAACCTGCATTTTTCATGAATCGTGATTATAAGTTTTACGCCACAGTTATATTCTTACACATCTTATGGGCCAAGAGGAGGGCCCAGGCTCTTCCGCCCTACTTAAATCCGTCACTGGTAAACATTATATGATAAGTGAATAATTTATGAAATATACTCATGTCAGCAAATTCTCAAAATTCATATTTTTTTAAGTCATTGCATTTCAAATTAATTTAACCAAAAAAATATTGAATTTTAAAAATAATTCTAAAAAATAAACTACTTGACTTAGATAAATCTTTTTACCATCAAAATTGTTCTTATAATCAGATTCACAAATAGCCTATTTGAATTTATCCAAGATAACTTTTACTAAATTTAAATTTTTTTTATTTTCAGTACTAAAAAATAAACATAAAAAAATGTATTGTACTTGTAGCGCTAGGGTGACTTAATGAACAAAAAATAAAAAATATTAATTTTAACAAAAGTTATTCCAAACATCAGTTCGATCTGTTACACCTTGTATCTCATCTCTTTGATAAGATACAACTGCCAATGCTCTATGAAAAGATCATTACAAATTTTATTTTCATAGGTGAAAATGCACATAACAAAAAAATGGTTTGCTCGTACATCGATTATATATTTTATATGATAGAAATTATGTYRGGTAGAYCTACTTACTGTATATTATTTTGTCTAGTAGATAAAAAAATTAAACTATCAAAATTAATACAGTAGAAATCTAAAAAAAATGTTCCAAAAAAATAATTGAATTTGCTGACAAATTGTATAAATAGTCAWTATAACCAATAAGTAAAAATTATTAAATATTTAAGGTACATACATGACTGACTATTTAAGGGACAATRTCCCCAAACAACTTTATAAGCTTGATTCGAAGATGAATTAAAAACAAAATTTGGCCCTTCTAATAAGCAACCTTCAAAACCATCTCCTACTCTTAACATGGATTGATCAGTTATAATTTCAGAACTCAAGATTTCTGAATTAAATGTTGAATTTGCTATAACCTTAACAAATAAAATATAATGTAAGTATTAATTTGTATAATGGTTAGGTTAGCACAATTTTAAATGTACATAAGTAAACTCTTATTTACTTGTTGTAAACTATCAACAGATAGTGTTAATTCTCCAAGCTTATATATAAAATTAACATTATGCCAAGAATTATCAAAAAAATCCCCTTGGATTTTTGATTCAAAATGTTTGTTTTGGAGATATATTGTAAACAATAAGCCATCATGAAGAGCATCTACTGAGATTCGAGTAAATGGTAAGTCTTGAGTTTGAGAAAATATTTGTCCTCCAGAACATGTTCTAAAGCTGAATCCTATATGTTTATTCAATGAAATAGGAGGAAATAAATTTAACCATGATGAACTATTGAAATATCCTTCTCTATCTGTGCTTCCATGTCTCTGAGTGTTTGTACATATCAAATACACAAATAAATTTACTGAAAATAAAATGAATGATTTATTAGTACTATGTTACAATAAAATACAATTTTTAAATTATATATTATATTAGAAACCCTAAATAAATTGTAATAGGTTCCTAGCGGAATTCTTTATCTACTTTAATAATATTTTATATTGATAATACATATTTCAAATGGATTAAGACACAATGAATAATTTACTTTTATTGCACTATTAGTTTAGAAAATCACTAATTATTTAAGAGAACGCTACACCCGCATGTATTGTCTCCGTCTTACAAGTGCATAATATACAAAATTTTATGCTCAGCAGATCAAGATTATCTTCRTTAGTTTAAAATTTAGAGTGAGTTGAGCTCTCATAAAAATTATAGGTAACATTATTATGGACGGCTTCTTATAGGCGTTTTATTATATTTTAATTTTAAAGCGAGTTATGAGTATTTTAAGATATACAAACATTATATAATTAATACCTAACCCTAACCTAACCAATTGTTTTCAGAGACCCAACTACCCAAGAGTAGTGTTATGATACTCACCCACTCACAAATACATACTAATTAAATTTTTCTAAAAAAAGTAGTTAAATCAAACATTAAATGTTCAGATATTTGAACACAATATAATAAACCAATATAAAATAATAATGCCTATTAAGCATCTAGTGATAAAGAAGACCACTTATCTTTTATAGATATTAAGTAGTTAAATCCTGGAACTGGACACAAAATACATTAACATCAACAAATGGAACAAATTCATTTTAGCTACCCATCATTTTTTATTTTTAATCTTACTATCTTAAGGAATTAAGAATGATGGTGCAAAAAAAATTTGCTGAAACCATTATTTTGGAAGTTACTTATATCCTTCCAAATTTGMAATTTTATGTTTATGTCTGTACACAACATATTATACTGCCACGTGCTGCACCTATAACGCTTAAAAGTATATTATAGTGATTTGGCCTCCAAAATCTTAGCAGATAAAATAACCAACCTTGGGGGGAGGCAGAGGGTTCACTGGATGGGAGAGTATACCTACCTTTCGGGTTGAAATAACCCATCAAGTAAACTATCTTCTTAGTTAAAGTAACACAAATATAGTGGCCCTCTTTACCTACCAACTCAGATTGCTATACTCAATGCCCAGTTTAAGTACCATAAGTATATTGTAGTGATTCACTTCGCYTGCCAGCTACAATCAACAAACTAKAGGTCCTCAACACGGAGTTAATGTAGTGTTCCTCTCATACGTAACAACTTAAAATCGCAAACATCGGAAAGTTATAAGTTCCGGAACAATGGTTTCTACAATTTTTTTTTTACAGCACTCATCAAAGTGCACTCATCAAAAATAAAATTTTAAAAAWAACGCTGGGTAGCTAAAGTGAATTTATGTCCAAAAAAAAAAGGTTCCTWGCAATCGAAAAACACTACTTACCAATGAAAATAATTGACCGCATTATGTTTCTTCAGAGTTCACATAGACGTAACATAGTTTGGTTGTAAACGACGTCGAAATTGTTGTGGGATTATGGGCGACGGCATTCAGATGAACAGCAGCAGTGGATGTGTCTCAGCACGAGTGACTAATACTTTTCCAGCAAATGCAATACACGCATCTAACGTACCTGTCTTGCCTACGATAGTACGATGTGTCAGTTAAAGTTAATTTTTCATGTAAAAAAACCGATAGCCATCAACAAAAAATTACACAATGCAACGGAACGTAATGAGTAAATATGACACCGTACTGTATAATTATTATCAAAACAACTTGTTATTATAATAGGTACAATGTACCTTACCTACAATATAAATTAAGAATAAGAGAACAGCGATAAACGGAAAAAGATAAACATTGGAATTTTGTTTTTGTTCGATTATCAAGGAGGTTAAAAAATCCTACTTCACGACTTCTGGATCACCACCTTTTGGTCCACGATATGTTTGTTCCAAATTTTGTTGATTTTTCATCATAATTTAACGCTAGTCCATACTCCATAGCAATTTAATGATGGGTACCTATAACGGCTATAACTATAACGTCCGTGGCTATAACTTACTGTATAAGACATTAAGACGCAAAACCTTCACAGTGAAGTTGTAGCACTTGTAGCTGCACTGTTCTATGACAGTAGTTACCATTATTRTTATCAACATTTAACGCTTTTCAATTTTTTCTACCACGAATCACAAGTGATTCAGTTTCAGACTATTCAGACTGCAGTCCATAGAATACACTAATACAGATTGCAGTCTGCAGACTGCAATAGCCAGTAGCAGTACTTTATCTCTTTTCTATGTGCAAGTACTTCACTTCACTCTTCAATCATCGGCTCATCGACTCATCACTTCATCAGTATTCAGTAATGAAAATGATTCTATTCTGTGATGATTGTCAAGTGATGACCGATCAGCATGTGATATATTTAAGAATTAGAAATTGCTTAATGCATATTTAATTATTTCGTTTTCTATTTTAATATTGTTACCTATTTTTAATTTAAAATTAACATTTTTAAAWGGTTATTAACTACAGTATCAACTACYAATCACAGAATAAAAYTTCATGATAAGTAATAACATTGTAATTCTTTTAAAAATGCGTTGCTGTGTAGCTTCATGTATTACAAAAAAATTGAAAAATACAAAAATAAGTTTGTTTGGCATACCTAAAAATGATTCTTTAAGACTTGAATGGGAGAAAGCCTTAGGAATGCGTTTTAAAGCTAGTTTTAGAGTATGTCGTGACCATTTTAAAAAGGAAGATATAATTGATACCTGGGTATCTGGCCAAGGATTAACCAAATACACAGTAAATATTAACAACCATGATGATCAAATCAAATTGTGATGTTTACTTATTGAATATTAATATTTTTTAGATTTTTTTAAAAAAACCCAAACTCCGCAAAGGTACTATTCCTATTGCTTTGAAGTCATTTTGCACTGTCTCATCTGTATCTCAAGTAATTTTTAACTTAGGAMGCCCTTAAAACTGTAATAATACAGAATTTAAATTGTTATAGAATTTTAAATCAAGTGTCRCACAGTCAAAAGTACCAAAAGAATATGATGTTTTGATTTCAAACATCAACAATGACCATTGCTATTACTTAGGTAATGGTGATACATCGGAAAACACAAAACCATTGGATGATGATACAGTTTTATCATTATCTCCACCTGAAAGAATAGAGGTACATTATAATTATACTTAATAATATTATTATTATTTATTAAATCTTTGTTACCTAKTATTATATCACACAGAATTTAACTCGTTCATTTTATAGGTAAAACAAATTTCATATTTTAAAGATATTTTAAATCAAATAAATACAATAAATATTCCTAAACAATGGTTTTATGATGATATCTACGTGACCAAAAAAAAAAAAATGATCAGTTTTCATAAATTGGGACCATACAAAGATGACCTTACTAGAAGTATAGAGAAACAATTGATTTTGACTGAAGGTGAGTGTCTTAACTTTTTAAATAGTATCAAATGTAATTTTTTATTCAATATGAATTCATTATATTTGTAAAATTGAAATTATTTTCAGATTTACAATTATTACTCTATGTTTATAATAAGAAAATCAATATATCTGAGATARGACATATTATAAGTGAAGTGAATACTACTGTTAATACATGTGAAAAATTACTAAATATAATTAAAAAATTTGATGAAACTCTAGTATGTCAAGGTGCTTTACCCTCAAATCAAATTGATGATGTTAATTCTTCATATGGTTATCAATTTGTTGAATCCTATGGAATGTGGAGACATATAAACTGCTGCACAATACTTACTAAGGATAATAGTATAAATAGGTTATTAATTTCAAATTTAAATAATAATTTATTTTTTATCATCAATAACTAACTATTTATAATTTTAAAATTTCAGTAATATTTGTGTATGGTGTAAACGTTTGTGTTATATTATTAAAAATAGAAAGTTACGCTTGAAAAATAATCAAACAATCCGGATATTCTTTTCTCCAAATCAGCAAAAGATATTAAAGCAAATAAAAGCTCAGAAGAATTTAATGAAAAAAAGATATTGCAGAGCAACAAAAAGAATTATTTCCCTTCAAAATCAGTTAAACGACCTTAAAAAAAAACCTAAAGAAATCTCTGAAACTAGAGTTGAAGAGATTTCAGATCAAGACAGTTTAAACATGTCAATGTGTCAATCTGATCTGATTTATGTATCAGATGATTCAATTTAATTATTTAATTTTGCTACAGACTTTAACCATTTCCCACACCAAGATGCATTAGAGCTACAAATAGTTGTATAATTGGTGGTGCTAAAATATCAACTAATTTAGTAACTGCTTTTGRTGTGAACAGCATCATATTCTCTTTGATATGTGTATTTCTTTACAATTACTACGGTATGTTTATTTATCATATGAATTAACTATAAACTTTGTAATATATAACATGTGATTTATATATATATTATTGTGTTTGGCAACTTCATTAAACATTGCAGTGTTAACATCAACATTATCAAATGTATTCAACCTAATGGAATGTGATTTTATTTTGTTATACTATAACAATTCAGGAAATACATCTTAAAATATTGAATGCCTAAGTTGATGATCAGAATGATATTTAACGATTTATCTTGAATTGTTATAGAATCATACTTMACAATATAAAATTCACGAAAGAAGAATTTGATAGGTACATAATATGGACAAATAATATCTGATAAAACTATTTACTTTAGATTTACTGAATATGATTATACATTTTATTATCATTTCAGACTTACAAAATTGTGCGATCATTTAAAAAAAATTTTATCATATTGAATTACAGTATATCTCATGATGATGAAGTCACTCAAAATGTAAACCAAAAAAAAATCATATACAATGATTTTAATGGTGTAGCATCTAACAAGTGTTGCTATCCAACAACACAAAAATAAAGTCAATAATTTCTATTTGTTCAAAATATTTTATACTTAAGTATTACAAAAAACAATTCTTACTTATAAAAAAATCTAATAGATACTGACTGTATTAGGATAAAATTGTAATTACAATTTTAAAATAATTAATATTGTTTTAAAGATTTTTCTATTTCATAAATGTACTTCTGTACCAGTCATAAATTTATTTATAGGTTAAATTGTTGATTAAAATGGAAAATTTGCATAAACTGTTTTTAACTGTTTTTACATTATAATTATTTTTTTTTGAATAAGTTGTATTAAAAAAGATACTTTTTATTTTTTATAGAAAGGCCAAAAATTTTTTAATTTTGGCGTCTTTTTTGAACACTAACGAAGTCCACCCAATATTTTCAATTTGTTGATTAGCCCATCAGAAACTATAATTTCATCAATATCTAACAGAAACCAGATAGATTTTATGATAGGCTGAACAAGAACTATGCATACCAATCTATCACAATTAACTTATAGAATTAATTTTTGTAAAACGTACAATTGTGTATCAAAAAATAACTTTGATGTTATTATCTCTGAGTACTGAGTAGTATGAAAACAGTTATAGATTTATAAAATAATTTATTATTTTTAATTTCTCACGAATCAATTAATAATACTTAAAACTCGGGCAATTTTGATGTTGCTCGATTTGTGATGTTGAGTATAAAGATTTGTTCCACGCAAAAAAATTATGAGGCGTATTAGTTTTTTGTTAACATTTATATTAACTTTCAACTAAATAATTGCATATGGCTGGTTGTTAAATAGTAACAATAAAATTCGTTAAAAAACGAAACAGAAATCATCGGCAAGAGAAAAATAATGTAAAATTTATTTTTCACATGATTTTTTTGTGGAGGCTAAATAAAACTATTTTCTGTTAAGTACACACCAAAATCCAAAAATACGTTCTATTTTTAATTATACAACTTAGTAGGGAATTAACTTTAAAATAATGTTTTTTGATGTTTAATTAAAATGTATTTTACGTTTTTTTCTTAGATTCAAATGAAATAACCACGTGATGCATCATGCATACTAAAAGCTCTATTAAATTTCATGTTAGTAGGACAGGACGTGGCGTGGTTCATCATTTCAACGTTCTGACTTACAATGTATTGTAACTCTTGTTTAGTTTTAGTTACGATTTAAAATTTACCAACAGATAAAATATATAATAATAATGTACAATATTATAATATAGCTATACCATCATTATTACCATAATGTTAGCAAGC